GCGAGTTACACATGAATAAAATTAAATATAATATATGGTTTAATGTTATTTATAGTTGTTATTGTTAATTAATTTTGTAAATTTTATTTGCTTAATGTTTTAATTTCTATCATTATAATTATTTAAAACATCAAACATTGTTTTTTGATTTTAAAGGTAAACAATATAATCATTTATATAGAATTATTTGTAACTATTGTTATTGTAAGTTATTTTAAGCTAATTATTTGAAAATTTTTAACGATTATAAAAATATCTTTAGGAAATATTTTAGTTAAATTGATATTATAATTTAGTTTTTGTATTTAACACTACAATTTATCACTTTTAATTATTCACAAAATACTCATTGGGTTTTGTAAGTGGAAATGAAATCTATATTTAAGTTGACACTGTAATGTTATATTTAAATTAACAATTTAAGTATTTTGTCCAAACTTTTCAAAAGTTGTAGCTTTAAACTGATAATGGTTTACATACAACAACATATTAAATGTAATAAATTAATTATAATATGTTAAAAGTAGACATAACTTTATAAGTAGAAGTAAATATATTATTTTAAAATTAAAATTTAGTATATTTATGATTACACTGTAGGTTTGATATTTATTTAACCTTATTAACCAACTTATAATCATTATTAGAAGAACACTACAATTAATCATTTTTAACTATTTACAAAATATTCTTTGGGTTGTTTAAGTTAAACTAAAACTTATATTCAAGTTGATCCTGTAATGTTATATTGAAATTAATAATTTAAGTATTTTATACAAAGTGTTCCAAAATTGTATCTTTAAAATGATAATGGTTTACATCCAACAATATATAAAAACTAATAAATTAAGTATAATATGTTAAAAGTTAAAAAAGCATCACTTAATAAGTAGAAGTAAAAATATTATTTTAAAATTGAAATTTAGTTTATATATGATTACACGTTGGTTTGATATTTATTTAACCTTATTAACCAACTTATAATTATTATTAGAAAGAAATTGAAAAGTCATGGTAGTTTCAAATGAATGTGGTGAAAGGAAAAATGACTAGGCGAATCCCCACGCGTTGCGCGAGAATAGAATTATATAGTTAAAATAATAACTTTTACCAAATTATTATTTAATATTTCTACCTTGAAATAAAATGTTTGTAGTAAAGCAAACATATAGTTAAGATATTAGTTTTATTAAACATTATAGTTTAATTTTTAAGTCATTGTGATATATACAATTATTTGATAATTTTATAAACCGTTTAAAATTATGTAAATTATATATCAAATGAATGATAATATAACGGGTAACAAAACGCATGAACAAAAATATGAACTGCAATTTTTAGTAACATAAAATAGAAAAACATCTATTATAACATTTGTATTAAAAAAAGATATATATACAACGAATAATAAAAAAATTGAAAACTAAACACTATAACTTTTAATAACATAAAAACACTAAAACATCTATTAAAACATTTATATTAACTCTTCATATTTAAATCACAAATCTCTTCAAATACATTAATGTTTTTTTAATGAGCAAAACTTTACAACCTTATAAAAGAAAGGAAAATAAAAAATTATTAGTGATTACTAATTAATAATCATAAGTTAAAAACTCTTGAGTTGTAACTAATAAATATACATAAATTAGAAAACTTTTGAGTTGTAGTGTGAGTTTCAAATGAATGCGGTACTTGGAAATGTATATTTTATTATTATTATTATTATATATTCGTCTAAATAATTGGTTTTGAGCATCATTTTAATCTCTTCAATTATTAAACATAAAGATATTTAATTATAAATTTATAACATATATAGGTGCATATACATGTTAAAGAAATCACATATAATATATATATTTTCGTAAATGTCATATGTAATTCTTGTCGTAGTAATATGGATAAATTACTTTCATATGAATAACATATCATGACTAGACGAATTCTCGCGCGTTGCGCGGCGTAAGTTAAAAATATATTGTTAGAATATATAGTTTTCAGACACATTTTAGTTAATTCGATTCATCAATTTAGGTTCTGTTATTATTATTATATTTAATGTTTTCCTTTTAACTATGTTAAAAAATATATATTGAATTTTTTTTAAACATTATTTGATATTTTACTTTAGGTTTTAAATTTTACACTAAATTTTTTTGCTTATTTGGATATATTAATGTAGGTTGTTTATTTAACTATATATTGAAGTTAACAAATTAAGTATATCATATTGATAAGTCACAAATTCTTCCATTTATGATAATGTTTACAACTTAACGCATATTTAAGTTAATAAATTAAGCATATTGTATGGAAATATGAAAAGTTGGGAGTTTCAAATGAATGTGGCGAAAGAAAAAAAAATGTTTCCTTTATAATATAATAAGATAAGATGATTTATAGTTTTAATTTTTAAGTCATTGTGATATATACAATATTTGATAATTTTATAAACCGTTTAAAATTGTGTAAATTATATATCAAACATATGATAATCTATATATAACAGGTAACAAAATGTATGAACAAAAATATGAACTACAACTTTTAGTAACATAAAAATACAAAAACATCTATTACAACATTTGTATTAAAAAAGATATATATACAACGAATAAAAAAATATGAAAAAAACACTACAACTTTAATAACATAAAAACTCTAAAACATTTAGTATAACATTTATATTAACTTTTCATATTTAAATCACAAATCTCTTCAAATACATTAATGTTTTTAATAAGCAAAACTTTACAACCTTATAAAAGAAAGGAAAATAAAAAGTTATTAGTGATTAGTAATTAATAATCATAAGTTAAAAACTCTTGAGTTGTAACTAATAAATATACATAAAATAGAAAACTCTTGAGTTGTAGTGTTAGTTTCAAATGAATACAATACATGAAAATGTGTATTTATTATTATTATTATTATATTCGTCTAAATAATTGGTTTTGATGCATCATTTTAATCCCTTCAATTATTAAACATAAAGATATTTAAATATAAATGTATAACATACATAGGTGCATATATATGTTAAACAAATCACATATAATATATATTTTTCGTAAATGTCATATGTAATTTTTGTCGTAGTAATATGGATAAATTACTTTCATATGAAGAACATATCATGATAAGTCATCACAATTACATATCAAATGTTAAAAATTATGTTATCTTTTAAATATTGTCTTGTAAATATGTTGTGTAGGATAACCCAACAAAAAAATAATAGAAAATAAACATAATCAAAATAGAAAAACTACAATCAAATAAATAAGAACATTGGGTGGTTGAATATATAAATAAAAATGTTACATAAATATACGTTTAAATCAAAAGAAAAAACTAACATTCGTCTACTTTGCTCAAACAAAAAAAAAACCTATATCCGTTTTCTGAATCTTCTTTCTTTATTTAGCACCATTCAACCATAGAAACTTGATGACAATTCTTCACTAACCTGCAATCAAAATGTTTTTCTTGAAAAAGAAGAATGAGAAAGATATTCCAAGCAAAACATTGATGTTTGGAGAGTCACATTCAAGATTGAGTAATACACACAAATCACATATAAAGATCAAATGAGAAATTGAATATAAAGAAAGAATAGAAAAGCTTCATTTGTTTTGGTTGAAAGAAAAAATCATATTACAATTACCATCGATGCGACATAACCCATTTCTTCAAATCATCATATTTGGATGGTGAATGCTTCAACTATATGAAAACTTTTGAATCATAATATCTTCAACCAAATGACGACTTTTTGTAAGAAAAATGTACTAATATAACTACATATATAATGAATGTGAAAGGGTGTGGGGGTTTCAAATGCATGAGGTGTTGAACTTATAGAGTGTGTGATTTTCTTAGAATGGGATTATGTGTGATTAATTACTTTGAAGGTGAAAGGGTGTGGGGGTTTCAAATGCATGAGGTGTTGACAAATTTTTATGGGGGTTTCAAATGCATGAGATTCAAGAAAAAATGCTAGCTTTATAAGTATGTATGATAAGTCTATCATAATTACATATACAATGTTCAAAATTTTGTTATCTTTTAAATATTGTCTTTTAAATATGTTGTGTAGGATAACCCAACAAAAAAATAATAGAAAATAAACATAATCAAAATAGAAAAACTACAATCAAATAAATAAGAGCATTGAGTGGTTGAATATATAAATAAAGATGTTACATAAACATACATTTAAATCAAAAGAAAAAACTAACATTGTTAACTTTCAAACATAAAAAAAAAACATATAATATATATATATATATATATAGATATATATATATATATATATATATATATATATATATATATATATTATATTATGAATTCTTCTTTCTTCATTTAACCCATTCAACCATAGAAACTTGATGACAATTCTTCATTAACCTGCAATCAAAATATTTTTCTTGAAAAAGAAGAATCAGAAAGATATTCCAAGCAAAACATTGATGTTTGGAGAGTCAAATTCAAGATTGAGTAATACACACAAATCACATATAAATATTAAATGAGAAACTGAATATAAAGAAAGAATAGAAAAACTTCATTTGTTTTGGTTGAAAGAAAAAATCATATTACAATTACCATCGATGGGACATAACTCATTTCTTCAAATCATCATATTTGGATCGTGAATGTTTCAACTATATGAAAAACTTTTGAATCACAATATCTTCAAATCCTTCTTACATGTAAAATTTTATATAACACAAAAGACACAAAAGATTGGCCTTTTTATAGTAAACTTTTCACTAAATGCTAATTAAACATAATATAAGTTATAAAACTTTTGAGTGTTAAATAATAATTAAGAAAACTTTTGAGTTGCATTAGTTAAAAAAGGGGGTTTCAAATGAATGTGGTTTGAGGAAATTAAAAAAGGGGATTTCAAATACATGGGATTTCAAAACTTTTGAGTTGCATTAGTTAAAAAAGGGGGTCGCAATGCAGCCAAAGTTGTTAAGATGCTTCATGTTAGGGAGCTATGTGGTAATTCAATCAGCTGTAACAAAAAGAAGGTGAACTTTCAAGAGCAATACCAAAAGATACAGAAATCAAAACCTATAGTAAGTTCAACATTTGATTGTATTGAGAAAGTGATTTTTCAATTCTGATGTAATGAATCTATATATTGCATTAGATTTGGAAATATCAAGGGACACAGAGGATTGCTGATGTTGCATTAGAACACATATGCTTAGATGTTCAGACTCCAAACGGGCTTATTGAAACAGAAATATTAGCACTGGTGGTCTTAATGGCACCTTTTGGTATGTAATTAATAATGACTCAAAATCACATTAACTCATCATTTTCATCTTAATAGTTATGATTATCATCTTTATATACTTATGATATGCAGTTGTTATGAAGTTGGATATATTGGAGAACATGCTATTAATGGGTTACAATGTAATCATCTACGGAAACACATATTTTCTCAAGGTCAAGGCGAATCCCATCGCTGCTGCAACTGATGATGTTTCTCCCTTATCGCCCGATGTGATAGTTCTTGATGTTAGTGTAAGTAAATTTCTCCCAAATCACTTTTGTATAATCCCGTTTTTGACAATTCATCGATAAAACGAGGATAATGATCTACGGAAACACATATTTTCTCTTTAATCTATAAAAAAGTTAGAAATCGCAAACAATATTGATCAAACGCAAAACCAATTTCACCAATTTCGTAGAAGATTGACCTAAAATAGAATGGAGAATCGGGTGTAATGATCAATTTGTCAACTTATAGGCTTCATCTCTGACAGGGGATGACTTGTGGAGGATGTTCATCAAGTGTGCAAAGAATTTTGGAGAATCAAGTATCTACTTTGTCATTCATTCATTCCTGTTTTAATCTTCTTGACACTTTCTGAAAAAGAAAACAAATCGTTTGATTTAGGGGGTGTTTGGCTTATATTTTGAGAGCCCAAAAGTCTTTTTTGGAAAAGATAAAATATAAAAGATGTTTGGTAAAAGCATTTTAAAAGCAACTTTTGGATTTTTGATATAAGAAAAACTGACTTTTTGGAAAAGTCAGGAAATCCTATTTTTTGTAACTTTTACCAAAAGGACTTTTGCCTATAAAAAAAAAAAAAAAAAAAAAAAAAAAAAAAAAAAAAAAAAAAAAGTCAAACACCCCCTTAATCTTCTATACATACATGAATAGGCACAAGTGGCGTCTGCCAATGTGAATGTTGAAACAACGACATCAATTGTATTGCCTGTATCTGAAGCTAAAGCTACAGTAAATTGGAAGAAAGTAATTGGGGAAGATCTTGCAAAGAATTTGACAACTTGCGGATTTACCTCTACCCTTAAAGGTAAAAATTAAAAATATTTTTCACTGTAACTAAAGAAATCGACTTTCATATTGCAATCTGCAGAATTTTAAACTTTGTCTCCTTTTTCTATTGCTTACAGAAGGATAGCAACTCCATACATATCCTTGACTGTCTCTCTCCTACCGCTTCCACCGTTTTCTATCAGGTTATCTTGCTCTTCTCGATGCTTCCCATTTATTTTCTTATAATTCAAGGTCTTATAACTGTTGATAGATGTTTTAGAATAAACCCACTAAAAACGGAATGAAACAGGTGATGAAATTGATGTTGGGTACGATTTGGATAATTTTAGGATTATTTCCAGTCTTAGCCCTAGACAGTTTGATTGTGTGGTTGTCGATGGCTGAACTGCTAAAGTTTTCTCCTAAAGTCCCTGGTAAGTTTTTTTCCCTGAAAGTGATTAAAATTTATGATTAATCAAGTAGTAACATTATTCAGTTGTGTCATTAGCAACGTTTGTTTTTTATTATGTTAATTATTCTTTATATTTATTTTAAAAAATGTTTTGTAAAACTGTTTTTTTATAACATACGCATCTGCTACAGGTAAATCTTATTAGAAATTGCATCAAATCAAAGCCCACTCCTTCAGGTTCTTCCATTCCACTATAATTTACTTATTTATGATATCTATTTACCTTTTACTATGTAAATCCCATTGGTTTTGAATGATTAGTAAGAGATTTTTAACATATATTAATTAAGATTATTTTTCTTCACAGGTGTGGATTGTGTCATATTTTGACGGACTGGAATTACAGATTCCATTCCATAGTGGAACTAGAATTGGAATTCAAGATTTCAAATGGCCTGAAGGAAGGAAAATGGAAAGCCACACTCAGGTTCCACAAACTTGTCCTCAAAGGTAAATTTTGAGGTTATTGCTTTATAAGGTCTATAATTTCAAATGTAGCCATGAACATATATGAATTCGACTATTATTGACTGTTGATTGCTAATTCCCTTTATGTCGGGATTCAAGTGTTATGCTTAATTTTTCAGGGGTGTGATTCCATATGATTTGATATCTGTTGAGAGCATCAGTGGTGTCAAGGAAGGAAAATAGAAAGCCACTCAGTTTCTACAAACCTATTTCAAAGTGAAGAAAAAATCTCACATCACCTAGTTATAACTTATAAATTATAAATGTAACAGAAAAAACTAATAAACATTATTATAAATGCAACTGTAAAATCATAGAGATCATTTTACAGTTTTGTCTATTATTCGGTACCATATCAAACTAATATACATTATTATAAATGCAATATTGGGCTTTACCCAAAGATACATCTACCATCCTAATAATTTGCATCCAAAAACCACAAAAGATATCTATATGATCCAACATCCAAAAATTGCTTCTCTTTCACGACTTCATATCCACGCTACACATCCCCCTTACCTTTCTTCATTAGCACATAACCAAGAAAATCTACAAAATTTGCAACTTAATATGCAACATTCTTCTGCTTCATCACATAAATGTATGCATTTAATTGAAAAATACATGTTTAAAAATCAATATGCAACGTTCTTGGGGAGGTTACGGATGACATTGCTTTTCATGCCTATTTTGGATTTCATCGCCTCTACCCCTGACCTATTCATCTGCTTCATCACATTCTTCCTCACCATCTTCTCTTTTGATAAACCCATGCTTTTATACCTGGACTCATATATGAATTTCACAGTTAGAATAATCTTTTAAATTCATGTAGTTGCAGTTTTTTAAATCTGTACCAATTATGAATTTGAAATCAGTTTCATTCACCTTTTTGCTGCCAGCTCAGCAGTTCCATTTCCATTTGATGGGCGTGGTTTTTGACGATAATAACGCAAATATTCCCTTGAACCAATTGCTATCGTTGATATTTTATCATCATCATTTCTTCTAGTTATAATGAGTTCGGATCCACTGCTTCCTAGTTCTATGCTATCACCTGTACCATCATCAACAGTAACAAGCTGCAGCTTCCCGTTTTCATCCACGTAACTGAAATCATACAAGAAAAATCATGCATCCAGAAAATCTAAATTAAAATTTTCAAGGAGCGAAAGCCTGATTCAGTAACAAATATTCAAATACCTGGTGCTATAATCATAGAATTCCTCTAGTTCAGCTTCTTCTTCATCATCACCATCACCATAGTGCACTCTGCAATGGTTTTTTGCCACCATATGTTTCCTAACTGCTTCCAAACTATTGAAAGGCTGGGAATTAATGTCGCAATATAAACATACGTAATCACGTTTAACCTGTAAAAAAGATTAAATTTGTAAGAAAAATTTAGAAGAATGGGAGTTTTGCTTGTCTGATTGTTTAAAAAATAAAACAAAGGAATATATTATTGCAAGTATCTTGCCTTAAGTCCAAGATATGTAAGAAGGCCTGTTGGATCTTTCAGATACTCAACATCAGGTATGATTAAACCATGATGTTTGTGCATATGGATCATACAGCTTTCAATAGTTTTATGCTTTTGGTCACACAGGAAACAAGAAGTTGGATCCAATTCCTCTTCATCCTCATCATCCATGTCCTCATCTGAGGTTGATGTCATTTCACCGATCAAACTGCCGTTTTGGTCAACCTCCTCCCATTCATCACTTTCTTCACCAATTTGGGGAAGATCATTCACAATAAGGGGTGGAAGTGGCTTTATTATTATCATTGCAGTATTCTCATCTCGCGATGCCCTAGTGGTATGAACACGAGATTTCAGATGCTGAGCATGAGCCATGAAACTTCTATATCCTTTGCCACAAAGGCCACAAGCATACAGCATAGGAAGCTCGCTCATTTTACTTTTCTCTTCTGCAAGTGTGGATTGTCTTGCTAAGAAAAGCGCTTCTGTAACTCCTGGAACCCCTGCAAGCTGATTTTTCAAAGACTGACATCAATTACATATCAAAAAAATTCCGTTTTTATGTTTAACGATGAAAAAAACTAGCTTCGAAGCACATAATTTTCAACGTTACAGCACAACCACAATTAGGGGAAAATTAAAATTATACATCAATTGATTTAGCAACACGCACGTAGGTGAACCAAAAAGAGGGAAATTGTGAAAACGAAAAAAAAAAATCAAGTATTATAGATTGATTTACCTTGCGTTTGAGGTTGTAGCGATGCCATTCAGACTTGTAATGGATCTTCTGATCATTTTCATCGATGAGTTGTTTGTTGCAGGCGTTGCATGTTAACCCTGGCATGTTTTTTGAGACAGAAAGCTTTTAGATTGAATGAGAGAGAGGAGGAGTTGTTTCGTATGTTAGTAGAAAGCTCGGCGTAAATGGAAGGCGGGGGTTTAAAGGCGGAGGACGTCGGTGTGCGGTAGTCGGCGAAGGCGAGAAGAGGTGATCTAATCACTAATCACTTGCGTCATGTCACGATATTCTAGACCGTAAAGAAAGTAATGGAAAAAAATACTTACAATATTATATCTATAAAAGATAACAATATTTTATAAATGGGCAAGTGATTATAGAAGCTTCATGGCTCAGCATCTGAAATCTCGTGGCTAATTATATATTTTATAAATGGTCCCATATCATGTTTTATAAACTTTAAAAAAATACTTACAATATTATATCTATAAAATATAATCGTTTTAACATTTTTTAGGTTGTTTGTATATACTATTATTTAGTTGCAATTGGTCACAAATATATAAAACTCCATAATAACCGGAAAAGTTTACGTCAGACCATCTCCATTTTTTTTTTCCACAAATAAAGTGAAAAATAGAGTAAGTAGTGTTTCATCTCCAATCATATTTTATTTTCTATCATATTTTTTACCCCAAAAAATATATTTCTAAATATTCCATTTTTATAGTCTATATATATTATTAAATACACCCCTCTACTAATTATATTTTAACAAACATATATTATATTTTTTTCATTACAAAAATATTACAGATTATATTATCATAAATAAAATGTTTATATATAATGAATTTAAATTAATTATTACTTTATTATAAATAATTATTAAATAAATAATATTATATTTATAATATATATCTCAAGATCACGATCATATTTGATTACTATATTTTATAAATTATGTTATCTTGTTTCAAGTCTTTACTATATATTTATTTTTTTTTATATGAATTCGATAAATAAATATTAAACTCTATATTTACGATTAATTAACATAAACTAGTATATAACATGATATTATAAATATTAAATATTGCATTTAAATTATTATTAACAAAGAAGAATAAACTAATATAAAATAAAAATAAAAGAGACTAAAATTAACAACCGAAAATTCAACTTTATAGGATAGGGTTGGAGGAGAATGGAAGAAGAAATGGATGAAAAAATAGAGTTTGATAGTGGGTTAGAAGCTTAATTGAAAAAGTTTATGTTAGAAGCTTGTTAATTAACAAAGTGGTTTTAAAAAAAAAAAAAAAATCTTCTGGTATGTATATATATTTTTTAAATTTCAAAAGCTTTTAGTTTTAAAAAAGTTTCCAAAAACTCATTTTGTGACTTTCTTAGTTGTAGGAAAAAAAATTATTAGTTCTATTATTTGGTTTGAAGAGGTTTTTTCCAAAAAACAAACAGCACCTTAGCTTCTTTTTCCCACGACTCGAAAGTGGATAGAAAGATTTAGAAGAAAAAAAGCATAGAATCTCTCTCGTTTCCCGTTCTTTTACTTTTTAGAATAAACTAAAAGCTGAATATATATGTTTTTTCTTTCTCTTCTGTGTTCCCATCCGATGAAGACAATTTTACCATTTTGACCGTAAAAAAATTGATTTTCTACTTTGCCATACTTCTCGTCATATTTTTATTACTTCACGTGATAATTTTTAGCTACTATAATTCAATAACACTTTTTCGTTCTCATTAATTGGCAATAACCATCGAATTAAAACTATCCAATAAAATGGTTGCGGTGTTTTTGTTTTATTTGTAGTAAACCATCCGGTATACCTTCCCCTTCCCTTTGACCTCTCTATCTTTTAAACTAGTTTTTACAATTTCATTATTTAATTTTTTTAGATTGAAAAAAATAATATGTAACGGTGGATATACAAACTCATTTGTTGCAGTGGTAAGTATACCAGATGACCTTATATTGCATCATTTTGCCAAACTAATGTTGTTTCAAATCTCAAAAGATTAATTAAAACAACCGAATATATGATTTAAAATGAGGCACCATTTAACATCAACAGTTGTATGAATCTCCTGATCATATCACAAACTATTTATAGACAAAAAACTACAAACACATTACACATACATACCATTGGTATAAAAGATTTCAAAAGCATGTATCATTCCCATATACAATTAGCAAATTGCAAATAATTACATATGTACGTACAACTAATATATTACATAATACCTATATTATATAACAGATGTGCTGTTGTTAGTTGTTACCTAGGTTTTGGGTTTTCTTGCCTTTCCAGATAAGCTGATGGAAACCACCCTGTCTTTCCATTGCATTCTCCTTCAGACCATCCACTAGGAGACACCTGTCAAGTTTTACAAAACCAAAATAAAATTCTTTATAAAACAAAATACAAAAAAAAAAGACCAAATAAATAACCTAATTTAAAAATAAGTAAAACTCTAGGTATCAACAGAGGGATACCTGGCGCACAATCACAAAATCATCAACGGAAAGACTTAGTTCACCATCTGCTTGAGCATCAAACGGATGAACCACCTAAAAAGGATAAAAGGTGATGAGTATTAAGAGGGCATTCAAGTCTTTTCCGCACGCATTTTTTGTGGGACAAAAAGTTACAACTTTTGACCTATTGACATCAGTCCCAGTGTGCACAGAATGCAGTACAATCTGTTTTATCCTATCCAGTACCCAATATTCACCTTTCCAATAAAATAGTCATAATCTTGATTTTCACTCGGATGCTTTTCATGCTCATGTTGAGGGGCACCATCAGATGGAACAATTGTATCTTTCTCATTAGCAGATGGAGACGATTCTTGCATATGCTTTGCCAAAATCATCTGACACGTATAACAAAAAGATTTCTTATAAACTAAAAAAAAAACAAAAATTATAAAGCATCTAGTTCTAGTTGACCTCAGTATGCAACTCCTCTAGGATAGCCAAAACATGGCGATGATAATCCCTTTCAGCATCCACCTAACAGTTTGAACATATATCAATTCGTGTATAATAACACAAAAAAAATAGATGCTTTATTCAAGAAATATGTAGTATATAAGATTACCATCATAAGAAGCTTTTGCATGGTTATTTTCTGTTGGTGTTCTTCCACTGACAACATAGCAGAAATAGCTTCTTTTTGAAGTGTTACCATGGAAGCACGAACCTCACTTAACTTTGTTTCCATGTTTTTAAGTTTCAAGACACTCTCTGTACTTGGATCTCTAAACTTTGTTTGACGCCTTAAAACCTCCACTGCCTAAATAAACATTTAAATTCAACTAATTTTTATAAAATATATATTTCAATTTTTCAATAATCAAAATAAAACATACCTGTGTTTCGACTTCTTGGCGAAGTCTGTCACAACTTCGAGCCAAATGGCGAGCGTCCTCTAATGGAGCTCCTTTGATTGATGCTCTCAGTGGCTCACATACCTACAAATTATAATAAATGTTATTGTGACATCAGAATGATATTCTTTTATATAAAAATGAAGTTACCTGATTGTTAAGTATCTCAAGCATAGTGTCCCTCTTGTCTTCAATAGACCTTTGTGAAGTACCAAGTTCTAGAGCAGCCTTTGCAAGGGGGAAATCAGCAGTTGTGCTTTCGGTACCAAATTTGTGACAATCTTCAGCCAATCTTTTTGCTATAAATGGTGAGGTAAATAAATCATTTTCCAATAATTTAGATATAGAAGACCTTGATAAAATAGAAAAAAAACAAAAAGAAAAAGAAAAATTACACACCTATATGTTTCTGTTTTCTGCTTATTGAAATAAACCCTTCAACACCACGAACAATGTCCTTTTGAAAATGCTGAGACATAAATTAAGGGGTTAAGTAACATCAGAAAGTTGTTGATTCTTGATGGTTGAATATATAAGAAATAAACAATGAAAGAACTTTAAAAGGGGCTTTAGCCTTTAAGCATACCTTAGTTACCCTTGTCGAATTACAAAGATCTTGAAGTTTTTGGTGACAATGAAGTTCATCATCATCAAATATTTCGGCATCTTTACCCAGACGACTTAACACAGCCTACCAAAAAGAAGAATAGACAAATATTGCAATTTGACAGTAAAGTTACAGGAAAGAAAAGATTCTACAGATGCAACAAAAATGGGCGGTTTTTTTTTTTACATGTATTGTATCATCTCTTAAAATGACAACACATAAGTAGTTTTCTATCTTCAATACACAAAATCGATTCTATGAAGTAAAAGAGTAACTTAAACCAACAATACCCCTTAATAATCAAAACACAAAGTTTTCACACAGGGTTTTAGACCTTCGATCAGATAGATTGTTCCATATTTAGGGTAATAAAAAAATCGGAAGCGATTCACGAAATCCTAAACAAACTATGAAACTAACTAAAGAAGGAATCAAGAATATTAGGGCTGATCATCTTCTAATAGTTACTGATAAAACTACCTGTTGCTGTTTCGCTACTTGTTCCCTGAGTTTGCTTGCTTGCTTTCGTATAGCGTCCATTTCCGATATTCCAAGTCAAAACCGAACTTACTGAAACAGATGAATCAACCAATGATGAAAAAACTTTGATTTTGTTGTTCGATGGAAGATATCTGTTGTTAACGCGTATAGGAGAAATTTGATGGCAGAAAAAGGTATGAATATGAACAATGACAGGAGTTTAAGAAAGTTATTCGAAAGATACGATTTGACACAGTTTGTAACTGTTTAGGCGCGCCTATTTACTCATCGCCTCGGTAGTAGTTTTTTGTTTAATCACAAGTACGGTTTACATCCCCGTGTTACAACATAAACCGACAATATGTCAAACACGTACGGTAGTAGTCTTTTTGTTTAATCACAATAATTTTAAGTTTTTAACGATATCCAAAATAACATTTGTCAAACACGAATTAACTATTCGGAAATATTGATTGGTTATTTCCCCTTTTCACCTCTATTGATTATCGCATCTTCTAAAGCTTTCGCGACCTCATCATCTTTCAAAATTTCATCATTGTTATCAACAATTGGCTTTCTTGATTTCCTTACCCAATCTTGACTGCAAACTAAAGCCTCTACAATCGAATTGATTGAATGTACGTCATTCGGTGTAGCAAGAAAAATACGATTAAAAAAATGACTTTTCAATTCCGGGTCAGGTATTTGGAACCGAATAAGCCCTTATTTAGGTAACCTGGATCGAATAACCCGAGAACCGAATAAGCCTAATATAGATATCCAAGAACCGAATCGAGTTGCTTATTCGGGTCTATCGGTTCGGTTCGGGTTTCGGTTCGATTCGAGTTTCTAGGCCAAATTCTCATCCTTAGTTTGGAGTGATAAAATGTGGTAAAGACTGGTTTATAGGGAAAAAAAGTTTTTTTTAAAAAGCCAAAAATTATTGTCTTTTATAAAAAGCCAATAAGAAGTTTCAAAAACATTCCTAAACACGCCCTAACAAAAATATTTAAGAATATTAATTAAATTAGCTACTATAAATTGATAATTAACATTTCTCATTTTTTGTAAAATAATTAATTATTCCTAAACATGCTATTTTGGAGTATGATTTCTGTAGCGCCCAAGTTTTCATACCAAATACATCCAAAAATTTCATTTATCATTTAAAAATTTTACAATTAATTTTGGTGTACATTGGTATTCTGGAATACAAGAAGTTATTACAAGGATCGTATTGGCTTCAAGTGCAAGATCAAGTCAGACGTCACAATAATCTACCTGCAAAATAATCATCATAGAAACGCAAGCCTCACGGCTTAGCAAAATAACAACTACAAATAACATAATCACATAAATCACAATCAAATAATCATCACTAATAACAAATAAATTGCAACAATTAGTGGTATTCTTATACCCTCTTAGCGACTCTAAAATAATCACTTTCTCAATGATGATTTATTACTTAGTAACAATCTCTCTTTCTCCCACATTGTGATCTCTCTCTCTCTCTCTCTCTCTCTCTCCCTCTCCCTCTCCCTCTCCCTCTATCGTAATCAAATTCTCACTCGTGATCAATCTCTCTATTGTGATCTATTTCTCAATCATGACCGGTCTCTTATTCAAAGTCTCTCTCTCTCTCTCTCATGATTTAAGATCTATCCCTCTCAAAGTTAATCATTCTCTCTATCAATGTTTATCTCTCTCAATGGGAATCAATCTCTCTATAAAGATTTATTCCTCTCAATCATAATCAATATCTCAGTAATGATTTATCTATCTCTTAATCATAAGCTATCTATCAATCGTGATCAATCTATCAATCATGATCTATCTATCAATATGATCAATTCCTCACTCGTGATCTCGATAAAATCTATCTCTCAGTAATGAATAGTTCCCAATAATAATAAATTATTTAGATCTCTATATAATTCACATATCCTATATCACAAATATCACAGATATCACATATATCACCAATCTAATACAAACAATTACTCATAAATTATTTATCTTTCAATATGATCTACCTCTCCGTTATAATTTATCTGAATCAGAATCTGTCTCATCAAGGATCTATCACATTTATAATTTATCTTTCAATTAATAATCTATCTCTCATTTAAGATCAATCTTTCAATCAAATATTAATCTCTCAGAATTATCAATCTTCCAAATATCAATCGATTACTCAATAATAATTAATCATATAAATCATGTAATGTATAGGTATAAAATACATATACAATTTAAATCAAATAAAACATATATATTTTGTTCATCCAGCATAGATATCAAGAACACAGATAATATGCACACATAACACGTAATTTATATTAAATACTTCATATCTATATGTAAGTTGAAAGTAACTATGCACTCACTTGTTAAAGGGATGATTCCAAACTCGGTCAGCGTTTCGCTTCTAACAATTATATTTTCCTTCGACGAAACCTAGTATCATTACCGCTAGATTTTAGTCTAATATTTGTTGCAACTATTTACGAGCGATATTGTTTTATAAGTGTTAAACAATACTTTCCAAGCACTATGTACAGACAAATGTCAGACATGAAACACCGGAGGGCAGGACCATTTTGGCATTATAGCATTTCTGAAATACAACAACCTTATGCGGCCCTTCAAATCTGATTCCCCGTACTGCGAGTAGTTAAAAGATATTATAAGAACACTTTATATATTATATTATATTATATATATATATATATATATATATATATATATATTATAAGTTCATAATAACGATATTAAACTTAAACATAAGCTATACTTATAGTAGGGTAAGCATGACTCACTTACCAGGAGGTTTGGCTAGGAACCGGGCTCTGCGGGGGCAGAACTTCCAAGCCGAAAGCTCTTCTTCTCGGAGCCTTCTGGCGCTCCTGGACGCGCCTTGTGACATCCCCAAAATCACGGCCAGAAAAGACCGATTTAATTTATGTTTTTAAATAAAATTTGAGTAATCCTTTGATTAAAAGAGTTGCGTAATTTGTTCCCAAAACAAAATATGATAAGAATTTATCAAAGCATTTCATAAAGAAATGTATTTTCATTATATAACAAAACCTCGGGATGTCATGTTCCGAGGCAAACCAAAAGCATAAACAATACAAAATAGACCTTACAACAGTTACATATAACTATTGGTCTATAATCCAAAAATATCTTGACAATGTCATCCAACTTATGCTCTCGTGCCACTACCTGTAATACAAAGAAAAACTGAGTGGGTCAGGCGTGGGAGCCTGGTGAGCATATAGGGTTTTCAACCCACAATAAATAATTATATTTAGTTCATCAACCAACAATAACCCGATTACCCATTCCCGTTATCCTCACTTTATGTCCCTAAAACAACTATCACAAGGGACCTAGTCTAAGGATTTTCATCGGGGTGGACATTACTGCGAAGGGGTTTCCTCCACAATAAATGTCCTAAAGGCAACCATTAGGGGGATAAAGTACACCGGTGAACACATCGTTCACAAACACCTACAGGTTATGAGCCTGCTAGCGTTCCACTGGACTGTCTAGAAAGTGTATGTGGTCGTCATCCATACTCGGCTAGATGACTAGATCAACAACAACATCGAGGCCTCTCATCATTTTATTTCATCACACACCAACTGTCTACCCATGTTCTACCCAACATATTAGTAGATAAAATATATACATTTGTATACAGCTTAAAACCTGTACAAAACATCCATTCAACAACTAGTTCAAATAAACAAATAATATATAAACACATAACACGTATTTTATAAAGAATACTTTATATCTATGTGTTAGAAGAAAACAAATATGCACTCACTTGGTCAGAAGATGATCGGACAGCACTACGGCTCTTAAAACAATCGTTTCCGATAAAACCGGGATGTTTTCTTGAAAACCGGGCTTCTCGCGGGCAGAGTTTCGGCTCGGAAACTTTACTTCTCGGGATCCTCGGGGCTTCGGGACTTGCTTCGGGTCTCGGGAATGATACCGGGGCTTCGGGGTATAAGTTGCACGTAAAACGAGGCAATAAGAAGTGAGAGAGAAGAATTCGAGCACTAAAACTCGGCAGCCCACGACATCTATTTATAGGGTGCTGAGCATCGGGTTACGCTGGGCGTAATCTCAGAGTACGTTGGGCGTACTCCCTCTACAAGCAGTACGTTGGGCGTACTAAGCGGATCAGATCGAATGCGTCACTGCTTACGGACCCGGGGCACTCGAGTGGTGGAGTAGGGCGACGTGGCCCATTTCGATCCATGTATACGGGTACGCTGGGCGTACCTCCTCGTACGCTGGGCGTAACCCGGTAATCAAACTTCAAAATTGCGTAACTTCCGCATACGAGCTCCATTTTCGACGTTCTTTATATCCACGCGTAGGTGAGACTATACTCTACAACTTTTGTTTAGACTCCATGGGCTAATTTTGAATTTATTTTTAATATTATATTTTTAACAGGCCGAGACAGGAAATGTCCGTTAGAAATTCATAACCCCTTCATCCGACGTCTGTTTTCGTCTGTCTTTTTACCGTTGCACTACTATTAACGAGATCTTCGATTCTCGTTTAGATTGTTTACGCTAAAAATCACTCGATCTCATATTCGAGTTTTGGGCTGCATACCGCTAAGTCGAAACTTAGAAAAATCATAACTTCCTCATACGAAGTCAGATTTAGACGTTCTTTTTATGCACGCTCTCGGTTTAATGTATTCTACGACTTTTGTTTAGATCGCTAAGGCTAAAAATCGCTCTATCGTAAATTCACATTTTACGTCATTCAGCGTCGTGCCGGTTCTGTCGCGAAACTTCGACAGGTCATAACTCCTTCGTTATAACTTGGATTTCCGTACTCTTTATATCTCCGAAATCCTTGTTTCGACCACTACAACTTTATCCTTAGATATCGGCTTTATTTAATATTTATTTCTGACACTCATTTTTATTCTTAATTCATTAATCATAATAATTAAGTAAATAAACACATAATTCACATAATACATCTTTATTATTTCAAGATGAGTTACAAAGGTCAACCTAGATTATTACATCAACATTAATGTCTAGCCCAGAAACACGGGCGTTACACGTCGTGCCCGTTTTATCGTAAAACTTCGACGGGTCATAACTTCGACGGGTCATAACTTCTTCGTTGTAAGTCGGATTTCAGCGTTCCTTATATCCCCGAAATCCTTGTTACGACTAATTCAACTTTCTTCATAGATATTGGGTCTATCTATTATTTTATTTTTCATGCTTATTTTTATTATTATTTTATTACGTCGTT